TTTTTCCAAAAAAAGAACGGTTTTTTTTGGCCCCCCCCCCCCCCCCCCCCGTCCTCCTCCCCTCCCTACGAGCTTTCAGATATGAATTACATTCCTGGCTATTCTGCACAGGATACTTAAAGGGATAATAACTCTTCGTTTCGGCCAAAAAAATGCATTTTCCTGGAGTAAACAATAATTTTCCCATACTTAGCAATGGTTAATGAATCCATTTTTACATTCAAAGTTAGTCCCTGTTTTTTTTTCTAAAAAGTTTGGTTTTTTGTTAAAATCTCTTAAGATTATATTTCGCTTCACGTAAAAGTGCAATTTTAGCACGAAGTAGTAATCCATAATCTTAAAGAGACATAAAGTGTCCTGAGCACTGAAACAGTCGATATAAAAAGAAACTGATGGATTTCAGACATTGAAAAATTCCGTTAAGAGATTTTAACAGAGTATAGCCATCAATGGAGGTCACGTGGTCTAAAGACAAGCTCAGATATCAGAATAATAGCTATAACTGCCGTTTTTGTGGTAAAACAGAATATATTATATTTCTATGAGTTATTCACATTGTTTTTATTGTGAAATACAGATCTCATACGAAGAGTTATTATCCCTTTAAGCACATCAACTTCGTCATCACCAAGGACTGGTAATTAAATTCAACGTCTTGGTCATGTTAATTGAATATTTGTCATTCCTCAACAAATCAACAATTTTTTATTCTTTTTTTTCACAATTCAATTCAGTTACACAGAAAGGGCCCATCTTGTTTTGTTAAAAAAATTAATGTACAGAGACCAACAATGAAATCCAAAATGTTTTTTATTAAAATAAATGAAATTACATTTGATCACGGAGAACGCCGGACTCTCCTTTAAAAGCAACTGTATAAATTGTTTATCTAGTTCGAACCTTTACATTGAAGTGTCTTTCAAAATTATTGCACCCTAAACTTTCAATTGAGTGCTCTCAGATTCCTTAAATAGGTTACTGTGCGTAAAAAAATGGAATTCTATTTTTGATAAGAGAACCAAGTTACCCGAGCACAAGCTGTAAAATCCGAGACCTCACAATCTCGTGACGTACCCAGATTTGATCCTTAACTTGGGAGGACTCACGCAAACTGGTAATGTTTGCTAGCAGATGTATCACAGGTCGCTGGACATGGACAGGGGCCATAAGCAGCCCGTTTATTTCGTTTAAAAAGGGTGGGTTGATAGAGAGGAGGAGCGGCAGACCCGATTTTGGAAAGAGATATCGATAAAAAATTGATATGGATTCGCCACTTAGGTCTTAACGCAGTGAAATGTTCTGACACACGCACAAAAGGTTTGCAAACTCTGTTAATTTTTTTAATTTGGCAAACTAGAATCAAAGTTCCATTTCCTGTGTCTGGTCATTTTCAATTAACGACTTTTATTGTGGTCCTCTTAGCTATTTCAAAACTCACCGTCATCTTACCCAAATCGAAACTCAAAAATATAGATATGCTTTTGCAACACCACTCCTTTTTCCTAACTCGGTTTAGGTCGATCATTTTCTTCGCTTGGTTTAGGTCGGTCTTTTCATTCATTTGGTTTAAGTTGATTGGCAGGTTTCAAGTGCTCCCTGCATTTTCGCTTCACGTAAAAGTGCAATTTTTTAGCACGAAGTAGTAATCCATAATCTTAAAAGAGACATAAAGTGTCCTGAGCACTGAAACAGTCGATATAAAAAGAAACTGATGGATTTCAGACATTGAAAAATTCCG